CAGGTATTTTCATTGCAGGACGTGAAGCATGACCCAGCAGGAGCATTTGATTGTTTCCAACACCGGTTGCATCAGTTGTCCAAGCGTTTTCGTTTTGGATCCTGGGATTTTGGAGACAAGATGCGCTTCTGTGGTTCAGAGGTTCAGCAGTCAGAAGACCTGGAATTGATTTCAGTCTCCCCTGCAAGAGTATGTCAACAAGATCAAGCCTTTGACATTGGAAAAGGAAAAGGCCAGAAAGACCATCATGACTGAGGACCTATGCACGGAGAAGGAATATCGACAGCTAAGAGCATTGGTTGGCGCTATGTCTTGGCCTGTGACCCAATGTGTTCCTCAAGCCGCTGCAACAATCAGCTTGTTGCAAGCTCACATCAACAAGCCCGCCGTCAAGGACATGCTTGAAGCCAACAAATGCCTCAGGTTCTTGAAAGAAGCAGTGAAGACCTATGTGTTCAAGATCCGTCGGCATGGTGACTTGGCAGATCTTCGACTGGGCGTGTATTGTGATGCGGCATGGTCAGTGAGGCCAGATGGGAGCTCGCAAGGTGGCATGGATCGATTGGGCAAGCAAGAAATTGGTGCGAATGTGCAGGAGCTCGCTTTCGGCAGAAGCACGGTCTGCAACGATTGCAGTGGACGAATTGGAGTGGGCCAAGGTGTTCTATGCCGCGATGGTCAACCCCTATGGGGCCATCCATGAAGACAGAACAATGCATTTGTTTCAGGAGTCTCCCATCATCACCGACGCGAAGGCTCTGTTCGACAGCACTTTGTCGGTGACTCCTGGCTTGAAACTGTCTGAGCGTCGCACAGCAATCGAGATTTGCATCCTGAAGGAGTGGTTGAATGCCGTCATGGGCAACTTTCGCTGGGTGAACTCGACACAACAGCTTGCAGATGGACTCACAAAGACGAGTGCTCGAGATTCACTGGCATATACATTGTCCAGAGGAGTTCATGCCCTTCGCTATGACCCCAACTTCGTGGCAGCCAAGAAAGTCACTCAGAGCGAGAGAGACAAGGAGAATGCGGAGTATGAGAAGGCTGCCGAGTCTTTGTTTGAGGGGCAATTTCTCTTGGCAAAGGACCACGACAAGAAGGAGAGGTTGAACCTGTGTCGACTTCCTGGATGCCAGAAAGAGAAAGACAAGAAAGCCGATTCGAACCACTACTGCAGCCGTCGTCATTTTTACCTTCATTTGCACCGCAAAGGACAAGGAGGAGATGAATGGCGCAAAGCAGCAACTTGTGCCTTGGCAGTCCTAGCAGCAGAAAGCATCGAAGGAGCAGAAGCAAGTTACACATCCGAGAGTGACCATGTGTTTGACCCGTTTTTTTGCGAATACCATGCTGGTCGTTTTGTGTTTTGCTTTGCTTGGTGCCGTGGGTTCTTTGTGAGTATTGAAGAATGCTGTCACCCAGTATGCCCACAAGATCAAGAGCTTCTTTGTGACTGTGTATGAGTTCCTTTGCGCCTTAGCTTTTCGATCGTCCATCGGTTTGAGCCATGGCCCTGCTGAGACATCGGACTCGGCATTGGACGCTGGACTTGCGACTCATGGCATGGCGGTGGATGACAATGAGACGGAATGTGATGATGAGCTGGTTCGTGTAAATATGAGGCGCTGAATCGATGGAAGAGACGCTATGATGAAGCTTTAGAAGATGGACAAGAGTGGCGTGAGATTCATGCCCTTCTGTGGTCCAACCAACTGTCTTCGCAGATGCGAGGTCACGTGATTCGACATTGTCGCCCTGATGTTCGACGTGAGGACTACTTGAAGCTCACGTTGTCCTCCACGTGTGAGAACGTCACACATGATCAGATTCGTCAGTGGCACCGATTTTTGAACGCACACTTCTGCTTGATCGTGGAGATTCACATTGATGTGCGTGCCAAGGACCAGAAGATGAATCACTTCAAGTCCTTGTATGATGCCCTGCGAGCTGAGAATGAAGAACAGGATCCACACGCCCGAGAGCGAATGAGGTTTGCTCGTGGTGAACGTGCTGACAAAATGCAGGCTGCAGGGCTGAGGTCGGGGATCGTTGTGGCAGCTGCATCCAGAGAAGGTTCGGGAGAAGGTACCGGGGCAGGTCCATGAGGAGGTTCTGGAGAAGGTTCGGGAGCAGGTTCCAAAGCAGACAAAGCTCCAAAGGAGGGTGTGGACAGCGAAGAGATTTTCCGAGTGGCGCTTCGTGCTGTTGGGGACTTTCCTTGGGTTTATGCCACTGATCCGCCCAAAATATAACCATACGTCGCAGCTACACCTCTCTTCCCAGAGACATAGAGACACAGAACCATAGAGACATAGAGACACAGAGCCATAAAGGACAGAAACATAAAACACAGAGAAGTTGCTATCTACAGGGGGTCCTTTTCTGATAGCAACTTGTCGCTGCCAACCAACTACCATACTTGCCCCAATGCATCCAACCAGACTTCTCTGACAGGATGACTAGGAGGATGGCAGGAACTATATGTCTCAGCATTGGTGTCACCAACCGTGATCCAAAAATATGGCATAGATCCGTGACTATAACCAATCCTTAAACAGCAAGCTCTTCACCCCACCAAGTTGCTATCTACACGGGCCCCTTTTCTGATAGTGACTTGTCGCTGCCAACCAGCTACCATACTTGCCCCAATACATCCAACCAGTTCCACTTGGAAGCAATCATCAAGTACTTTTGCAACCAAAATCCGTCATAAAAATTACGACAAAATCTTTCGGACAAGTACTGTTGCAAGCAAAATCCGTCAAAAGAATTACGACAGAATCTTTCGGACAAGTACTGTTGCGACCAAATTCCGTCACAAAACCTCCAGCCACTATATAGACTAGGGTATGTTTTACGTGCTTTGCTGGTCCAGTCAATACCATCTGTATAGCTTGCTTGATTGAAGTCCAACAACGAATGTAAATTGCCCGGTCGTGCATGCTTGGCCATTTTGCGTGCACGCTGACGTGTCTCACCGTTCCCAGCAGCCCGTCCGAGGCAAGAAAAGTGCTATCTATCTATCTATCTATCACTATCTATCTATCACTATCACTATCACTATCACTATCACTATCACTATCACTATCACTATC